CTCTCGGGTGGGCGGGGCCAGCAGGGAGGGGGCGGGGCTATTGGGGAGGGGGGGGGCCTGAGGGAAAGGGGTGGGGTTAGAGGGAAGGGGTGTGGCTTGAAAGGGGCGTGGCTGGAAAGGAGTGGGTGTGGTCAGAGTGAAAGAAGACAGGGTTCGATATGAGGGGGTGGGGTTTGAGTGACAGGGGGCAGGGCTAGAGTGAAAGGGGTGGGGTTAGAGGGGAAGAGGGGGTGGAGCCATGGTGGGGTGGGCGTGGCTTCCCAACCCAAGCCCCTCCTCCCCCCAGGCGGGCAGAAGGCCCGGGTGGTCTTTGCCGAACTGGCCTGTCGGGAGCCCGACGTGCTCATCCTGGTGAGTGGGGGCGTGGCTAACGGGGCTGGGGGCGTGGCCAATGGGCGGAGGGGCGTGGCCAAGGCTCCCCTGGACACCTGGATCCCAAATTCCCCCCCAACCCCCCCAGGACGAGCCCACCAACAACCTGGACATCGAGTCCATCGACGCCTTGGCCGACGCCATCAACGACTACAAGGGGGGTGAGTCCGGGGGAGGGCGGGGACTGGGGGGACAGGGTGACGTCACGGTGACGTCACGGTGACGTCGTGATGATGTCATAGCGATGTCATGATATCACGATGGTCATGTGATGATGGTGACGTTGTGGTGTCATGATGACGTCATGATGGTGTGATTATGACATGATGGGATGTCGTGATGATGTCATCATGATGTCATGATGATGTCATAGTGGTGATGATGATGACGTCATCACCCAGACCAACTGCCAGCTCTGGGTGGGGGGGGTGGCGTGGGAGAACTGTGGGGGTGGGGCAGTTTGATCATGACATCATTCGGACATTGTGATGATGTCATGATGATGTCATGATGATGTCACGGTGATGTCACGATGATGTCACGATGATGTCACTATGCTGATTATGTCACCACCAAGACCAACTGCGGGCTGTGGGTGGGGTGGGGACATGGGGGGGGGGCATGGTCTGGTTATGACGCCGCTGTGACGTCACCGTGACGTCACCGTGACGTCACCGCAGCGGTGATCGTGGTGAGCCACGACGCTCGGCTCATCACCGAGACCAACTGCCAGCTGTGGGTGGTGGAGGAGCAGGGCCTGAGCCAGATCGACGGAGACTTCGACGACTACAAGCGGGAGGTGCTCGAGGCCCTCGGCGAGGTCGTGGTGCACCGGCCCCGGGAGTGACCCCGGGGGGACGGGGCCCTGGAGGGGCTTCCCTGGGAATGAAAGGATCTGGAGGGGCTCCTCTGGGAATAAAGGGCCCTGGAGGGGCTTCCCTGGGAATAAAAGGCGCTGCTGGAGCAACAACAACGTGCAGTGACTGACGTGCTTTGGGGTCGGAGGGAATGCCCCCCAGTCCCGAAATTCCGGAGGTCCCAGAATTCCCACCCGTGGGAGATCCCACCTTTCCCTCCTTCCCCCCTTATTTCCCAAAATTCCCACCCTTGGCAGATCCAAAACTTCCCTCAGGAGTTCCCAAAATTCCCTAAGCCGTTCCAGAAAGTTCCCTCAGAGGATCCCAAATTTCCCTCAGTGGATCCCACAATTCCTTCAGGGGATTCCCCCAATCCCTTCTCTCGGGAGATCCCAAAATTCCCTCAGCAGTTCCTAAAACTCCCCCCCCCTCCAGTTGATCCCAAACCCCTCCCCCAGATCCCACAATTCCCACCCCAAATCCCCCCCAGAGACACCAGAACTCCCAGTTTTTGGTTTTCTCCAACAAGTTTATTATTAATGTACAAAATATACAAAAGGGGGAGGGGCTTTTCCGGGGGGGCCCCTCCCCCAGGCCAAGTTTTCACAGAAAACAGCGTCCGGCGCAGGCCCCTCCCCCCC